ACATTTTATTACTTGACACAACTAGGCAATTCATGATTTGTTTTTTTTTGTCGATAATTCGATCATTGACAATGACATTTTTATTAATATAATTTGCTATAAATTTGTTTGGATGGTAAAAGTAGAAATTCATATTGGAATTATAATTTCCTTTCTAACGTCATTAAATGAAAATTGTTTAAAAACCTTAATATTTAAGCTTTGGACAAATAATAAAAGAATTTAGATATAAAAATTTGAGCGAGAAATGTATTAAACTATGCCAATCCGGGTGGAAAACAAATACTAGAAACAATGATATATAAGAGAACAATGGCAGTTGGATGAATAAGTAAGAAATATTAGTCAAACGTTATTAGTAACAATTATAGTTTCCTCTTTTGAGAGTAGGCACATAAAATAGTATTTTTCTTCCAAATGTAATCTATTTTATATTTAAAGAATTCAAATTTTAAATAATTTGATTAAGAGATATAAGTTATTATTATTTATATCAACTAGTGTTGGTTCAAAGTTATATTTCTTAATGTCTATTATTATTATTATTATTATTATTATTATATTAAATTAGTTAATTTAAAATTATTTATCGATGATCTATTCAATAGGAAAAACTTTTGTAGGTAGGAAAACTTAGCTTATTAATGTCATTATATACAAAGCTATACTTTCTTATTAATATAAATGTAGCTCGCACAATCAATGTTGTTATAAGACAATATTGATGTATATACTTTTCTTGTAATAAAATCTCATTAGTTATTTTATTTACAGTGTTATTTGTAGTCTATATTATACATTGTTTTTACAAAGTCGTTATTATCTTGTAAGAATTATAATATAAAGATTTGTAAAAAAAATTAATAGAAATTAAACCACACATTCAATGAGTTAAATATAATTAAGCAGTAGTAAAGTTACCAATCTGTAAATGCTTCATTACATTTTGTTATAATAATTGGTAATTGAAGAAGAAAAAAGACAAAAAAAGAACTTCCCAAGTACATAGTAAACAAACCACTCTAATTACAAAAAAAAAAAAAAAAAAAATAATCCAACATATCTAAAAGACCCATTAAAATTAGCAACTAAACAAAAAATACAAAAAAGAAGATTTTAAATTAATCCGTCGAGATAAAAGAAAATTAGATCACATTAAAATCAATCAATAAAATGGTTTAATTGCACTTTTTTTTTTTTTTTTTTTTTTTTTTTTTTT